AGCAGGAGTTGGACTATGCGACCTCTGGGGCGTCACTCCCAGCTCTAGGATTCAGTAAGTTTATTTGCCCCTGGCAGTGGAGAGCAACAGTCTCTGGGATGGTTGTCCCTATCCAGCACTTACTACTAAACTGGTGCAGGTACAGAGTCCCTGGATGGCAGCCCTGGGTGAGACTCCCTTCCCCAGTGACTGGGCTAGGAGAGAGCTCCCCAGGTTGGTTTGCCTCAGACTGTGACTGGGATCAGCTTTGAGCTACTGTTAAAGGTTAATAGTTAAAGTTTTGCTTAGGGAGTCCCACTGTTCTGCTTTCCCCTCTTAATAATCTTGCTTTAATTTAACATTTGCTAGTGAGTGAGTAGCAACATGAATAAATAACACACGGGGCTGGGGAGTCAGTTAGAGCCTGACATGGCCGAACGGCACTTTGAGCCAGGAAAGACTCGGGTCAGGGATGTCCGGGAGAGTCCCCCAGTGCCACAGAAACACGGTGTGAGGTGGCCTAGGAAGGATTTCCAGCCATAATCCCAAACCTGAAAGCCAGTTCCTTATTTGAGTCCATTTATTTATTACAGTGGGCTTGGAGGGCCATAAGTTGGTACCCTGGCACGAAGAAACTTCACTTTAGGCCGGGCAATACCAGGTCAGGGATGTCCAGGAGATTCCCCTGGTGGCACAGAGGCATGGTGTGGGGAGGCCCAAGAAGTATTTCCATCTGTAATATCAGCTCAAAAGCCAGTTCCTTATTTGGCCCATATACTTAGTACAGTGGCTGGGGGACTGTCACTTAGCAGCCTGACATGAACTCCCCACACTTTGGGCTGGGCAAGACTCTGGTCAGTGATGTCTGGGAGAGCCCCACATTGGTACAGAAGCATGGTGTAGGGTGGCCCAACAGGATTTCCAGCCATAACCCTAGCCCAAATGCCAGTTGAGTATTCAGGTCCACAGACTTAGTATGGTGGCTGGGGCAGGGGCTGTTAGTTGGCAGCCTGGCATGGCCAAACCACACTTTGGGCCAGGCAGGACTGCGCTCAGGGGTTTTAGAGACAGTCCCCTGCTGCCATCAACAAGAAGTTTGGGGTGGCCCAAAAGTATTTTGCCCCATAATCCCATCCTAATCTGATCTTCATTTAGGGCTCTGTACTTGATGCAGGATATTATTTTACATATTAGTTATTAAATATGCATAGCTAATAGAATTTCATCTCTCTCTTTAGAATGCGTGATTCATGAATAACAAGCTTTTATTGGATATAGATTAGCTTTGAACCAGGAGTAAGGAACCAACTTC